GGGGGGGGGGGATAAACGCTTGCGCCGCCCCCGCACCAGCGACACCGGCCGCGGCTCGCCTCCACGCGCCGGCTCGGAAGAGGGGCTGTCGGCGGCGCAGCAGAGCGGCTCGCCTCGGCGCTCGAGCCGCCAACAGCCCCACTCCTCGACGTGACGGCCGTTCCCAGGGCCGTCCGGTGCGCGCCCGACCCACGCCCCCTCTCGCACCCCTCCGACCCCCCCTGCGCGGCGCACCTATCCGCTGTGCGCCGGCTCGAGCGCCTATCGCCAAATCGCGACGTTTGAGCGCAGCGCACGCGTCCCACACGTCACGCGCGCGCAGGAGAGCTTGCGGCACCGCGGTAGCGTGTACTCACCGAGGGCATCGCGCCGAAAACCCCGCGCATTCCGCCCCAGCAGAGGCTGCAGCCTCTGCACAAGCTACACCACTGTAAGAATGGTGAGTACTTGGGGTTGAGTGGGCTTGCTTGCTCCCTAAGCCGGGAGCAAAAATGCAAGAATAAGTCAGTCAAAGCAGTCGTGGCACGTGAGCAGAGTCGCTGCATGCAACGGTAAGGTAAGGTAAGGTAAGGTAAACTTCTCCACACACACGAGGTGGTGGGGCAAGGGGGGGCAACCCTCGCGTCTCCACGTCTGACGACAGGAGCCCCACGGCATTCAAAGTGCAAGGCCCAGTGCGCGTGGGTGAGCGGTGTGTGTGTGTGTGTGTGTGTGTGTGTGTGTGTGTGTGTGTGTGTGTGTGTGTGTGTGTGTGTGTGTGTGTGTGTGTGTGTGTGTGTGTGTGTGTGTGTGTGTGTGTGTGTCTCACGTCACTACATCCTCCGCCGGTTCCTCCCGTCGCCTCTTCTTTGTTCGAATGTTTTTCAATCCATCCTTCACGAAGCCCTCCCATGTAGCTAGCGTTCTTGGCGAATGTCTCGAAATGGCCAGCAGGCGCTGTCTGCTCGCGGTCTGTGCGGGCCGCTCGTCCTCCTCGCCCTTCTTTCGTCCTCCCGTCCCTCCCCTCCACCATGGCCTTCTCGGCACTTCTTTCTCCATCCGCCTCGCCCTGCCTTTTCGCATCGTGCCGTTCGCCCTCCATTCGGTGACCTCCATGGCTGTCCGCCCCTTTTTGGGTGGCGCTCTCGATACGGTTGCGTCAACCTCGACGTCGCTGTCGCCCTCCCCGTCCCCGCCGGCGTCCGTGCCTCGGTTCGCGTCATCGGTAGCGTCTCCGTTGTTCCCTCGTGCCCCGCCGTCGCCCTCTCTGCTCGGGCCGTTAGCGATTTCGCTCCTCCTGCGTGTCGCCCCTCCGTCCCCTCCCCTTTCTTCGTCGTCATCGTCGCTGTCGCGAAAGCCCTCCGGTCCCTCGATTCCCTCGCCTATCCCCTCCGCTGCGTCGTCCCAGTTTATATCCTCATCCTCTGCGCACGTCGCGTTGGCTTCCTCTCTCCCCCTTTCCTCCCTGCCCCTCTCGCTGTCTGGTGTTAATGGACCCCCTTCCTCTCCCTCGCCACCGTCACCGTCTCCATCCCCGTCGCTACCGCCCTCCATGCCCGCCGCCCTTTGTTTCACACTCGTCTCTGCCATGTCCGCCGTCGCCGCCGTCCTGTCTGCTGCGCTCTGTGCTCCGTGGTACAGTCGCTTATTGTTGCTCAGGATTAGCTCACGCACCAGGACAGCCTCCTGCTCGTTATTTTGGCTTGCCGATATGCATCCAAAGTTCCACGCTAGCTCCTCCTTCGTCACGTCTATCTTTTTGCAGTATCTCGCGAATGCCGTCCGCGCTTGCTGGGGTGTTATTGCGTTCGGATCCGCCCTGGTCCCCGCCCTGTATCCCATCTCCTTGCGGTGGCTCTTGTATGAGTCCCCATATGACCATGTGATTTCTTGGCCTTCCTTGACTCCCCTCTCTGCAAACAGGACCATCACCTGCGCAGCTGCCTTGCCTAATTGTATCTCCTCGTAGCGTACGAAGTGCGTCGCCCTCGTGCCTCGTTTCGGCTCATTCGATGCTGCAGGCCAGTCGAAGTTACACCGCGCCGCGACGCTGTCAAAGTCGTCCCCGCTCTCGTCGTCACTTCCATCCAGCTGCGTCCCCCCTGCTGCCGTGTGTCGTGATAGTTCGTCTGGTACTGTCTCTGGTGGCTGCGCCGTTCCTGTCCGGAAGATCTCCCCAGTGTAGATGCTACACACCTCAAATTTCTCTAGCCTCCTCGTCGCCAGTAGGCCGAGTTCCCCTTCCGCTATGCTAGAGGGGCCTACCTTCGCCCCTTCCACCGTGCCGCCCGTCGTTAGCATGGCCGTCGTTACTTTCGCCGCCGCCTCTGCTGCTTGTCGGCGGAGCGCCTCGCGCCTTCCCTCGTCTCCATGCTCCTGGTCTTGTTCTTTTTGTTTTCCTGCGCTTCCTGTCGCTGGTCCGGCGACGTATCTTGCCGTCTGCCTTCGCTTCCTGGCGGGCCGCGTTTCCTTCCCCTCGTCCCGTGTGTTTTCTCCTGCGTGGTCGCCCTCGCGTGCGCCGCTCGCCGTCTGTTCTCCTCTCTGCTCGCCGTCCTCGTCCCCTCGCTGTCGTCGCTTCCCTCCGGCGCTCGCCGCATCGTCGTTCCTATCACCGCGTTTCCTGCGCTGGCCTTCGCCTTCGAGCTCGCAGTGGGTCGTTTTGAGTGTCATCCCCATCGCTCTCGTCGTTCTGCCTCTCCCCGCTTCGAGGCGTCTCTCTGCCTCTTCCCTTTCCTTCTCCTCGGCATCACGTTGTCGATGTCGCCTCCGTCGCCAGCAAATACACGCATTCGCCGCCCACTCCATTTCTCGTATCCTCTCCTTCCTTTCCTTCTGTCCCTCTCTCAGGCGTTCTGTTTCCGCGGCTACTCGTTCCTTCCTCTCCGCC